GGACATAGTTTTCCTAAGATGACTAATGCAGTCTTCTGGTATACATTTCTCAGAGCCTTCTCAGAAACCAAAAAAGATGTTGCAAGCTCCAGAATCTCTCCTAGTCATCTGATTCTTGTGCCATGGAAAGGGGAAGTCCCCACATTCTTTAGGGAGGTTTGTATTATATCCAAAATCCAAGTTAGATTATCTTCATTCAAAGGAAGCTAATTTTATTGATTTAGCAAAGTTTCCTTTACAACTTTTTGTTCTATATTAGGCCTTAAGAAGGAGTCAAGAAGATACAATAACTTTGGATCCTCATCTGGTTCCAGATGTATCTTATTTCTCTTCTCAAGCTTCTCATGAAGGAAATAGTCAATCAATCACTAAGAACTAGAACCAACTAGGTTTAGATGGGGAGCTGTTCGTGTAACCCTGTGTATGCGTCCTTGAGCTTTAATTTGTAACCTCTGCCTTATGATAATACCCCTCGTGTGTGTTTCCTGATTAATTTCATGCTCTTTGGTCAGATGAGTCCCTTGGAGAGAAGATTGTATCCTTCTTGGTTTTCCTCCACCCACTTGTTCCTCGTTATAAAAAATCTTTTACCTTACTAGAGCTTTAAAACAGACCTTAATGCAATCTAGACAATTTTTTTATAACAATGCCCTAGTTTGGGGCAGTAATCAAAGGAAATAACTAGGGCATCTTTTGGCCCACGATCCCTTTTCCAGGTTCAAATCCTTTCCAACAGTCAATTTATTATAAAAACTGCTGAGGGTATTATGAACACAATTGTCAATTCTGTAATGTTGGAAGGATTACAGAATTGAACTTTAAATGTTGGGTTTAAGTTGAATATTCTCTACAGAGGGATGTAAATCTGGAAGCAAGACTTCTTCCATCTACCACATGCCAAATGGTAATGTCACTTGGGCATTTGGAAAGTCTGTGATGGGGGATTTGCTCTTGAAAACTTGGGAGGAAGATGAACATTTGTCACTCTGGTTTATGCAAACTGAATGTACACTTTCTTTCAAGAAATCTGCGACATTCCTTATAAAGGAGTTTATCTTTGAGTCTTGGGGTCTATGGGCAGAATCTACTTTCTGATCATTTTAAGGAGCATAGATACATTTTAAATTGTATGGCCTACACTGGAGACCTACCCTTGGCTATTGCAACCCGACATACACAGACCTTTTCTTCAGGGAATTTATACTTATACTAAAGAACTTTGTCTCTCTTGCCTCTTGTAACTGCTCACCTCCAAACAGTGAATGGAATAGTCAAAGGACACCAAATACCTTTAAAACATTCCAGTGCCATGAAAAGTTGTACATAAGTGTCTGAAAAGAAAAGTTTTAGCTATAAAACCAAGGTGGCACCACTCACTTTAGATCCCTTCCATTTAGGCCCAGTCTGCCAACAGTAGATTTGATACCTAGTCTTGAGTTGTGAGGTTGTGTCTTGTGTCACTTTTACGACTAAACCACATACCACCATTCCCTCTGCAAAACCCCTCAAAGTCCTTTAAATTCCTTTAAAATATTCTCTCTTTAGAATAAAATTTGCCAAATTTAATGAGCTAAATCTTTTCTTGTCAGAAATAATATTCTGCAAAAAAGTACAATATCAGACTTCAAAGATGGTCGACAAACTCTCATACTCAGAAACTTGAAAAGGCAAGGAGTCAAAAAACAAAACGTGCTCTAAAAGAAATAAGTAACAGGGTTGATATACAAGAGTGAAAGGCAAAGAGATTCAAGACAAGGAGGGGCAAAATATTTAAGAGTCTCACAAACAAGACAAAAAAGTCTAAATCTTTGTCCTAAATGCAAGGGGAGCCACCACAAGACTAAGCAGGAAAGCTTCCAACATTATCCTAAAATCTAGAGGAACTTGATCATTAAAAAAAAAAAAAAAAAATCATCCCAATTCAGCAAACACATGCCATGAACTGGAGCTTCAAGGTTGCCATGGGAGCAAAAAACATGGGGAAAAAAGGCTCATAAAAAGGTGTAGGCGTCTGATGCCTGCAGTCAGATACACCCAAAGGATAAAAAGCAAATTAATTAGATTTGGTCAAGAGACCCATCAGCAGTTGAAGTTGACTTTCTCCTTTGAAGGGAAGAGAATGTGAAAAGGCAGAGGCTAGGAGACCATCAGTATTAGATGTTTAATCATGAAAAGATCATGAGATGATGATCAGAGGACTACAGGGTCACAGGGAAGTGTTTTCCTTATTTCTAAGGTGAGATTCAAGCAACTTACAAAAGAAAGGGCCCACTGCAGAGAAGGTAAGGATGCAGGAGAATGAATGTCAATGTATCTCCTTAGATCAGAGCTTAGTCTCCCTCCTGATGTTGTTAATGTGAGTAAATATCTTCTTGAATTGGAATAAACTCTCTGAAATTAAGAAAATAATTACTGGAATCCTGAAATTGGAAGAGCGTGCATATGACTAGGAGATTTATCATGTCACCAGGAAACAAATCTTGGGAACCACTGAAACCAATCAAGGCATGAAAAATAGAGGTGTTGTATTAGTTTCCTACAGCTGCCATAACAAATTCCCAAAAACTAGGTGGCTTAAAACCATGGAAATTTATTCTCTCACAGTCCTGGAGGCCAGAAGCCCAAAATCAAGATGTCAGCAAGGGACATCGGCAATCCTTGATGTTCCTGTTTTTAGATACGTCAATCCAATCTCCTCCTCTGTCTTTGTGTCACCTTCTCCTTTGTGTCAAATCTCTTATGTCTCAAATCTCCCTTTACCTTTCTTTTATAAGGATGTCTGTTATGGAATTTAGGGCCCTCCCTAAATCCAGGACATCACAATTCAAGAAACTTAGTTACAATTGCAAATACCCTTTTCCCAAATAAGGCCACATTCAAAGGTTCAGGGGGTAGAATTTGGACATATCTTTCTGAGGGCCACTACAGGCATGTAACAAACATCTCTATGGCTAATATGAGGCCTCTCAGATGAGATCCATCAGTATATCATTTGAGGAACTCCGGCTAGGGCCAGACAGCCTGGTTAGACCCAAGTTCTACCACTTAGCAGCTGTGTAATTTAAAACTTCTGTGCCTTGGCTTTCCCTCTGCAAAAGTGAAATAATTATGTATCTTAACACTCATAGGATTACTATGAATTTTTTGGAGTTAATACAGGTAAAAGGCTGCTGGTGCCTGGTCTCCAAAGTCTTGAGTAAGTAGGGTTTTGAATCTTCTACTGTGTAAGATGTTCACCTGTAAAGAGACTGTCTCCCTGGCTGCCTACAGTCAGGTGTCTTTGAGCAAAATTAGCTACTATATCTCCAAATGAAATAATTCAGTTAGCATTAATCATAACTAGCTTTGTGTATATATATATATGTGTGTGTATATGGGTTTGTTTTGATGATTAAGACTATAAAGACTATTTAAAGACACATAGGGGGAGAGGTTAAGTACTGACCTTCAGGAAAACATGTTGACACTTATGAAGCAAGCTAAGTGCAATTTAAGTTGATTGAGCAAAAACTTGAGACTTACCTTTTTTCCTTTAAATATCTAACAAATAGAGTATATTCCCAAATGGTGGACTTGGTCCTTGAATTATAAGTTAAAATCAATGGGCACTTTGTTAGTGCCATTGAGTCCATTCCGACTCCTAGTGACCCTGTATACAGCAGGCGGAACCCTGCCTGGTCTTTTTGAGCCATCCTCTCACCTTCTGGTGCTGTATCAGACAATGTTCCACTGCTATCCATAGGGTTTTCATGGCCAATTTTTTTCAGAAGTGGACAGCCAGGTCCTTCTTCCTAGTCTGTCTTAGTCTGGAAGCTCCACTGAAACCTGTCCACCATGGGTGACCCTGCGGATGTTTGAAATACGTGTGGCATAGCTTTCAGCATCACAGTAACACGCAACTACCACAATATGACAATGGACAAACGGGCAGTGTGGCTCCCTGACCGGGAAACGAACCAGGGCCACAGCAGTGAGAGCACCAAATCTTAACCACTAGACCACTAGGGCTGGCTAACTGGGTTCTATAGACACAGAATTAAGAGGGCTTTTTAGTGGGAGGAGTCTACCAGCCCATGGGTGGTCTTAACAGGATTACAAAACTATGAACAGCTTTTCTTTGCCTTTGGTCTTCAGTCCATGTAGAAAGGTAACCTTTCTCTAGCTCTCTCAGGAGCTGCGTACAAACTTTTCCTGGGAGGCGGAAGAAGCTTTGGAAATGTTAGTTCGCTTCTGTGTGCTTACACTGACTCTGGGTTTCTCAGTTTTATCTACTGTGATACATGGGGAGCTTTATGAGAGCACATACCACAACTGTTTTAAGGACAATAATGCTAAATAATGTCATAAAAGTATTTACGCTCAATGAGCTGCACAATAGACACTCTGTAAATTCATTCTTTCCCTGATATATGTGTTAATGACAAAAATGGACATCTTTTAAAGTACAGTGCTAAGATGGCCCTGGAGATCATACATAGAATCCTAACATTTTAAAAAATATTTCTCAGTAAGAATAAGATAAAATTCATAACTCTACTCTTATTACCGCCTTTATAGTCAAATGATTTTTTGAAGAACCAAAATTTATAATGCCCAATTTTAGGTGCCAGCTGCAATCTTCTCAGGCTTAACATTCAATTTACTTCTATTTTGCAATGAAACTTTATTTTTCTGTGCATGACACATTTTGATCCCCATCTTTAAAAGTAGATTTTTATGCCAAATTTCCAATACAAGCCACTCAGCTAGAAAATCATTAAATGTTACCAGATATCAATTGCTTAAAGAAGAATCTGGTAAACGCTGTCTGTCCATTTTGGAAACTACAAAGGAAACAGTCCTACCCACTCCCCTGCTTTCAGAGTTCAGTCTAATAGAGGAGAAAGAACAAAATGAGTCTGAAGAACTATACTCTGGAATCACTCATTGTAGGCCTGTTATGGCATAAAGTCTGAGTTCGCTGTGTTATGATCTCATTACGCCTCTAACTCTGCCTACAGGTGTCTGTAGTGGGTTATGTTCATTTGAGACTTCTCCATCGGGGATCGCCTGGTGTCCTAAGTGTCTGCTGGTGCTGGAGTTTGCTGTCTGCCTTCCTGCCATGTCTAACGAAGTAGAAACGAGCACAACTAATGGTCAGCCTGACCAACAGGCCGCACCAAAAGCACCGTCAAAGAAGGAAAAGAAGAAAGGTATGGAGACATCCTCTTGAGGCCAAGGAGGGGAGCTAGTGGTGGTTACCTCTGAAGAAATATGAAGTTCGGGGTAAAGTAAGAGCTGGCGCTTGCCTAGTTTCAACCTCAGCCTAATATTAAGTTCTCCTAAACAGGAAAGTTAGACTTGGCAGAGGAGATGAGTTCACTCCATGTATCATAAGACATGTCCCTGAATCCTGTGGTTGCACCAACTTGGGGCCTGCTGGGAAGCTTTCATTGCATCTTGTGCAGTTGATAAATGCAACTGTCAATTATTATATGCTTATCTTTCAGTAACCTATTAACTACTTTGCTTTACTGATGTAGCTGTTTTTCAAAAATCAAGATCTTTTCAAATATTTTTTAAAATTTTAAAAACTATAATGAAGACTATTCCCAAATCTCACTTTACATATTCCCATGTTTCCAATACTTCAGTCCGCTTTGCACCTTTAAGAGTTTCTCTCCACCCCAATGCCGTACACAGTATTATAGAGCATGATTTAACTGAAAGGAAGTAAGAATAAAGATAGAATATTGCATATTTGATCAATTGTAGGATAACCAAGATTTATACTACACAGATTTTGAGATTCAGGAGCAAATTTGGTCATTTGGGCTGATACTTAAATACATTTATAAATTTTATCCTATATTTCTTCCTTTTCTCAGGCTCTGAAAAGACAGATGAGTATCTCTTGGCCAGATTCAAAGGTGATGGTGTAAAATACAAGGCCAAGCTAATTGGCATTGATGATGTGCCAGATGCAAGAGGGGATAAAATGAGCCAAGATTCTATGATGAAACTCAAGGTAAAAGGGGACAGCATGGTTTGTCTCTATCTTAAGCAAATGTCCAACACAGACAATTGTGTTCGGAGTTTGTATTTGCCCATATCTCAATTATTTGAAAGAGAAACTTTTCTAATCACAAATTTGATCCGGCGATGCCTCATTTTATGAGAAGCCATGAGTCTACGTATTTTGAGTGCTCTTCTAGAGACCTGATTTAATCAAATATAGCGAGACTCTAGATGCTTTTCCCTGGGGGCAGATCAAACTTTAGACACTGGAAATATTCAGGTAAAATTCAGGACTCTCCTTGGAAACTGATGTTATTTAGTGTTAGCCCTTTAGTTTTTTGAATTTTTAAATTCTAGCACTGTCGCTATGTTATGTGAAACTAATTAAATAAATTATACTTGTTAAATAAGGCATCTTTGAAGGATCATTTTTGAAGGAACATCTTTGAAGATCTTCTAGTCCGGTCTTCTTGTCTTTACCAATGACTGAGGCCAAGAGAATTAGAATGACTTGTCCAAGTTCACATAGCTAACTAACGATGTCCTAGCTCAATGTCATCTATTCTATCCTGCTGTCTCTTATGAAAGGTGCCTAATCCTTTCATAGATGGTAAACCAAGCTGAAAATAAAGCCGACTGTCTCTTAAACTTTTAGTATCAGGAGCATTGTAGCGTACTTTTAACTCGATTTTTCTTCTTTTCACAACCTCATCAGGGAATGGCGGCAGCTGGTCGATCTCAGGGTCAACACAAACAAAGGATCTGGGTCAACATTTCCCTTTCTGGGATAAAAATAATTGATGAGAAAACTGGGGTAAGAATTCACTTTCACTAATACCTTTCTGACCACCCGAGTCTGACAAACAATTTGTGACTTAAATTTCAGCTCCCTTTCTTCCTTTTTGGAATGCTGTAGGAAAAATAAAAAACAGCATTTGTTATTTCTCCACAAGTAACAGGCAGAAAACAGACAGGGTAGGAGGTGAGTCAAGATACTTTATTTTGAAATTCACTTCCTATAATAGAAGCGAACCTCAACTCTAGAAATCCAAATATGCTGTAAATACCTCTTGGGTATTTTTTTGGACCCCAGGTACACAGAACTAGATTAATCTCAACCCCTGGTTTGTGATGTTACCATAGATCTGTGCATGGGTCTTATTTTAATATATTGATCACGTGCAAACTCCCTGGCTCACCCAAAGCTAGAATATCACCCGGAACACATCTACCATTTTTTGTCTTCTCTCTTTTCCCTTCCTCCTCCCCCCACAGATATAACTCCGCTTTTTTTGTGGTTGCTGTTGCTCTATCCCATATGAGCAGTCTTGCTTATTTTAGGGTTTTTTTTTTTTTTTTTTTTGAGCCTTATCAAAGCGTTATTTACTTCAAGTCTTCTGAGACTTTTTTTTCTGTACTTAACATAACATCATAATATTCATCCACTTAAAAGGTCCTCTGCAGCTCATTTTCATTGCTGTGGAACACTCTTTTGTACCAAGGTGCTATGGGAAGACCTCCAGTTGCTATTCATGCCTTCCTAGACATACCCATTATCTAATATGCAACATCCATTGATCAAACTGAGGGCCCTGGAACCCTGGTCCATGCTCACTCACCCTGCTGGCCCTCATGCACTGCTATCTCCATTCTCCCTCACCTCTCAAGTCTTATTTTCCCAAGCCCATCAGAGAATGGTAACGTTTCCCTCACAAGCATGCTCTTGCTCCCCAAACCTTCTACGCTCCCCAATATAAACTTTTCAGTAGCCTTAGGCATTTGGAAACAAAAGCTAAGATTCATTCTGACCCCTACAAATATCCCTGAAGAGTTGAGCCCTGCTATCTGCTTGAAAAGATCAAAAGAGAGAGGGCAGAGGCATAGAGCGAAGGCACAACTAGACCAGTAACCCCCCGCCACATGGAACTCCTGCATGAAGACGTGGACATCTGTGTGAGGTGGAGGAGGACTTGATGACAGCATGTGTTAACTTCCAGAATGTACTGGGTGTTCTTGTTCCAATAATACTTGGAGTGTTTCTCTGGCCACTCTGAGCCACCGTCCAAGGATCCCCATGAACACACCTCTAGCTTAGTTATGATGTTCACTTGAGTTTGTCTTTAGATTGGGAAAATAAACCTACTTAGAATGGCTTAGGGATTATATGCCCCATCTGTGCTTTGGAAATTCTTGGTCTCCTAATCCTCAGTCCTTCATGGCATCACATCTTTGGGATAGAGAGGATCAAGTATCAATATCTGAAGAAGGAGCATTCTTCCCACTTTTGTTTTCTACTCTGGAGCCCTTCCTAGCAAAGATAAATGTAGCTCTAGCCTTCAACCAGAGGCAAAAAATTCTTTCTTCAAATATTTTAGCCTCTTTATATATGCCGAGGTATCCGATGCTTAGTCTTGCCAGCCAGCAGGTAGATTCTAGTTTGCTCAATAAATCATTTTGTATGTTCCTTTTGCAGGTAATAGAGCACGAACATCCAGTAAATAAGATTTCTTTCATTGCGCGTGATGTGACAGACAACCGGGCATTCGGTTATGTGTGTGGAGGAGAAGGCCAGCATCAGTTTTTTGCCATAAAAACAGGGCAACAGGTAAGCTCTAAGCCTTGAGGTATACCGGAGGGGGGACTTATCCTCAGTTGAGCCTAAGAGTGTCTGTCACTCAACTAGAGATCTTGCTGGAAACAATTGGTTGTAGAAGGACTAGACAATGATTCAAAAGATGACTACCTTTATTGGTCTAAGGAAGCTTTTTTAAATGTCACTGATACCCATGTAGTGTGCAGTACAAGGATTGTTAGAATGGACTTTCTCTTAACGTCAATGCTGATTTTAGAACAATAGTGAATTATTCCCAGAAATCTTGAAGGGATTTGGAAAATTATCATGATATTTCTTGTTTTGTCTAAATACTTATTAACCCTGCTGTACTTTATATACCTTGGGGTGGGGATGGGGGTGGTGGTGATCCCCCATAAACCAGGGAGGGTAGTAAGGTGCTTTAAGAGAAAGGGAGAAAATTATACTAATCAGAACTAATGGGGGGCAGAGGGAAGAAAACAGTAAGATTAAAATACTGATAAAGATGCTTTCTCTTGCTTTAGGCCGAGCCATTAGTCGTTGATCTTAAAGACCTTTTTCAAGTAATCTATAACGTAAAGAAAAAGGAAGAAGAAAAGAAAAAGGCAAGTACTGCCCAGTACAGGCTCTATTAAACTTAAGACTATATTCAGGACTCTGGTTGAACATTATGTAAACATATGGCCTGTCTGGAGAGTTGGCTTCTATGTGGCTCTTCAAAGTACAGAAAGTATAGAAATGTATTGTCTGTTCTTCCCAATAGGCCAATGGATGGATGTTATAGTTAGGCCCTTCTGACTTCTAGTCCCTGACTCTTGTCTTTTCTCCCTACAAACTTCATGTTGACTCCAAAGACTAAGCAGGACTGCCAAGTTTAAGTCTGGTAACTCTATTCAAATCCAGTATTGATATGTAAAGGGAAGGGAAATGTAGAGCAGAAATAATATGCAAGATTCTCTCTTGCTTTATGTCTGTGGGCCCATAGGTGTATTTGTTCTTATGTTTAACTCCTTTTAACTATAATTGCTAAGATCACTGAATTTCTGTCTTTCTTTTTAGATGGAAGAAGCCAACAAAGCAGTAGAGGTAAAACTTCATCTTTATTATTATTCATTTTTTATTGGAGTAACACTGTATAAATTTCAGGTGTACACCATTATATTTCACCTTCCGTATAGATATGTTGTGTTCCCCTCCAAGAGTCTCATTTCCACCCATCACTGTATACATGTGCCCCTTTACCCCTTTCACTCCTCCTTTGCCCTCCTCCTTCCCCTCTGGTAACCCCCAGTCCGTTCTCTGTATCTATGTGTTTGTTTGTTTGTTTATCTTCCACATGAGTGAAATCATATATTTGTCTTTCTCTGTCTGACTTATTTCACTTAGCGTAATACCCTCCAGGTCCATGCACGTTGCTGCAAATGGCAAGATTTCATCATTTTTTATAGCTGAGTAGTATTTCATTGTATATACATCGCACATCTTCTTTATCCATTCATCTGTCAATGGACATTTAGGTTGTTAAAAACCATATCTTTGCTTCTTGTGAATTGTGTGTGTGATATGTTTAAGTCCTTGTTTGCTACCGACCCAAACATGTTCCCCCCCTAGCATATTACTAGATGTTCATGACCCCTCTGGTCATAGAAGATGTACAGTTGAATGATTAGTGCCAAAATCATAACTGAAGAGCCAGCCAATACAGTAGGAAATTAAATTTTGTAGAGAAAACTCACCAACTAAACTCTTAAATATTTGCCATCTTTCCAGAATGGGAGCGAGTCCCTAATGAGTCTTGATGACCAAGCTAACAAACTGAAATTGGTATGTATGTGATTTGTTATAATTCTTACTTACCTAAACATGGGTTTTACTTCCTATAGATGTTACTAATACCAAATCTATGAAAAACCAATTTCAGGAACTACTTCTGTAAACATTAGTATAACATTTATGTCAATATACAATGATCTTTTTAGTAAACACATCTGAATCCAATCCAAATATTTTATAAGAGTGTGGACCAGATGGATTTGTTTGGGGATATGTCTACACTTCCTGACCTAAATAGCCTAATATCAAATCTATATTAATTGAATGAAAATCCAATTGTGACAAATATTTTCCTAAACTGTAGTTTAGGAAATGATTACGACAATATACAAAGTAATCTTTTTTAGAAGATACATCTGAATCTAATTCAAATACTTTTTTAAGGGTGTTGACCAGATGGATTTGTTTGGGGACATGTCTACACCTCCTGACCTAAATAGTCCAACAGTAAGTGTCTGTTTTTAAATTTGCAATGTAATGGAAATGACATCTATAAATCAAATTGGCAATTGATCAGAAATCTTGAGCATCACATTGAAACTTGGAAGGTGACTGCTGATTTTTCTGCATAAAGTATAAATGGCTACTAGAAAAAATTTGCATCTTAAGTCATCATGGGAACCTCTATAAGCACAAATTGAGATATATTAATATTGCTTAAAGGTTAAATCTGAGCAATGGGTCAGGCAATGTAGTCCTTGGTATTGCTTAGGATCAGGAGGAGCTGAATATAATCCTTGGTGCAAGCCTACTTGAAGAAAGTCTGCTTGTTACATGATTAATTGCAAAGCCTCCTGGCCTCTCCATGTTTTTTTCTATTCTTTCTATTGCAATTTACTGGCATAATTGGTGTAAAGTAAGACTTAAAACAAGCAAGAGGCACAGTTATGTTTAACCAAGGCCTGTTGTGGAAAAAGTTGCTCATTCTTTACGGGATATTGAGGTGTATCAAGTCTTCTTAATATTGATTAATCATAACAACTCTGAGAATGGAGCAATATTTTCCTTTACAGAGAAGGAAATGGTGCTTCAGAAGCAAAACTCATTTACCCAGAAAGAGGTCCAGATTCAAGACTTAAGCCTAGGTCTCAGACTTTCCGAAACAAGCCTCAAGTGAAATTACTCATGTAATTTTGAATGACTTCCTAAAATTTCTACTATTTGTTTAACAATTTCTTGAGTACCTGCTCTCTGCAGGGCACAGAAGAAAGTCAGGTGCACAATGTCAATGACATCATGGAGTTTACCGTCTAGCAGTGAGAGCAACTTTAAAACTAATCACAATGTCTGTTAGTTGATGTTAATTGTGGAGTATTTATCTCGTTTGGAGGTTCAGATAATGCCTCTGAGTATGTGAGTTCCTGGACTTGAACATAAAAAATGAGAAAGCAATAACTAGACAAAAGGGGCATAAGTCTAGAATAATGGAGAGAATGTCTATGTAGGAGTCCTTATATCAGGGAATTATAGAGCAAGCCTATATGACCAGGAAGGACTTAGGAATTAAAGCAGAAGCAGATTGAGGACTAGGTAAGAGTCTCACTTGCCAGAGTATTGCAGAGAACTCCAGGTCTGTGAAATTTCACATCAAATGCCCAGGCCCATTGAGATGGGGAGGAGCAGGGGCTGCATACATTGTTCTCTGTCCCCAGCACTCTAACGTTCACAACACATAACAGCCTTCCAGAGGCCCTAGAAAGGCTGCACTGGAGAAGCCTGTTTAATCTTCTTTTAAGCAGGGAGTCCTAACTCACTTGTCTATAGAACCTTTCATTCTTCCCAATTTTTGTTACCCTTCTAAGGATAAACTTATTGAAATACTGGATTAGATCATCCTGAAAGGTCCATCCTAACTCTAAGGTCCTTTGGATTCCGAGGCAACTTAGCCCTTCCTCCATAGTAGCTCCCTTCCCAAAGTAAATTGATAGCTGAGCAACCTACTTTCCAAGTTTAAGTACCATTCAAACAAGGATATTGAAAGAGATCAAAGCACTCAAGCTAGGAGTAGAATTCCAGTGGGATAAGCAAGGAAGCACTGACCGTTTAATCTGCTCTGTAAACTTCTAGAAGGTTCTCAAGAAGAAAATGAAAAACAACTTGAGTAATCCTGAGTCCCATTTATGTTAGACTCCCTGCATTCTAAGAATTTTTGATTTGTAGAAATAAAATGCAAGTTTTATTTAAACTGACAATAAAGTAACAAATACCATCAAAGTAGATAGCATCTGATAAGTAAGAGAATGCCAGCAGCGCTAATTATGTGCTGATTAGACTTTGCCAACGTGTTCTTACATATTGACTCCATGTTCATAGGTCAAAAAATAGGTTTATCTCTACTTCTTTAACAATATTCAAATCTTACAACAATTGCTGTGGAAGACAGGAAAAGAGGAAGAAATTTCAATTACCTAGACTTTATTAGTGGTTCCCTGACTTATCTGGGAGTAGTTTCATGCATTTCGAATAAAACTCACCTTGAAAACGAAATGGCACCCCTTAGAATGTAATTTTTATTGGAAAACCACTTGAGCAATATTCTTCCATGCTGTGTCTCAAAAAAAAAGAAAAAGAAAAGGAAAGGAAAAACAAACAAACAAAAAGACATGCTGTCTAACTTTAAAAATGTGGCCACTTGAAAGTACAGTCAGTATGAGAAGAACATAAGCTGTGGGCCCCATCAAGGAGGTTAAATCTGGTAATAGGGAGGGGATCAGGGCACAAGACACAGTATCATGAATACATAGGATGCCATGAGTGGGCACAGGTGACTGAAACAGAAGGATCAATGGGAAAAGGCTATGTAAAGAATCTGAACTTTAGTTGGGTCTTTGAAGTGTTTAGGAAGATGGAGAGTAGTTAGGATAGAAATAAACTGGGTCCTGTTGTGGATCATTTTGAAAATCTGGCTAACAAAGCTTATTTTAATATAGGGAGTAGCAGGAAGCCACCAGCGGCTTTGGGTAGGACAGTCCAGGGTCTGGCAGGCTGGAATGGCCAGGTGAGATTAGCTCCCTGGAGAAGAGCTAGGCCATGGAACTCAGTATTTAAACCTCGTCTTTGTACAGACACCTTTTTCATTGCTTGCCCACCCCTCTTCCTGGAGCTCCTAAGAGCAGAGACTGTGTTTCACTTTCCTGTTGCCAGTGCTGTGTCTCTCAGGTGCTCAAATGATGGCTGAGTGGATGCAGTGTTGACGTTCCAACAAAGAATTAATGAAGCTCTGACCTAGGGGGTAAATCTTTCAATTGTAGTCTATGAACTCGACTCTTAATTTTGGATTAACAACAAACCCAACCTGAGGCGAGCCTTATACATTTTACTTATAGGGTGACTATTCAGAAGTCTAACATTGTGGCTCCTGTTTGGTGTCCTAAGAACTCCTTCTGAAGTATTTGAAAAGGAGAACACTACCAGCTGTGAATACCCAACTGTTCTAACCCAGAGGTGGCTCATAATAAATAAATAAATATTGAAATCACAAGCTTTTGTAATACATTTTGTCCTCCTTTTTGATTGTTAAAGATCCCTACATTGAGATCTTCCAATCCATTTCTTTGATTTAAAAAAATTTTTTTTTAAATTATAAGCTCTTTCTTCTGACAAATTCTTCTGGTTATAAAGTGAAAACCTAGCTTTTAAAAATTGTGTTTTTATACCTTACTGTAAAGGAAGCCAAGAGATAGAATACTATTTAGGTCTGATTTAGTACCTAAACTTTCCAAGAATTTGTTCTTTTTTCTTACAGCCAAGGAGGCCCATTCAGGCCCCCTTTTTACTTACTAGTTTGCAAATTTCATATTCCCTTGAGGTTGCTTCATCCCAATGATCAACAATATTTAGTAATCTGCTCAAGATAATGCTACACTTCTCCCATTTCAGCTAGGCGTTTCTTATTGTTTATATTCTTGTATGGCTAGCATAGTTAAGTAATTAATGAATCAAAGGTGGTCATAAGGAATGTCTGCCAGAGCTCTATCCCAGGGGGAGTCCTTGTTAGTTATGTCATTGACCTGAATAGAGACATGTCAGATTTATCAAATTTGCTGCTTTTATGCTAAGAAGGATGTCTTATCTAACAACTGAGAATCCAAGTAATTAACATCCCAGAAAAATGATAGAGAAGGAATAGAATTTGTAGAGTTATGCATTTGATTTGTCTTTCAAATTGACTCTTAAATCCACATCTCCACCTTACACATAAAGATTATATTTATACATAAATTAAAGATTAGTTGACTTTATCCACTAAATAGATGATTGTTGTCACAATACAGACAACTCTAAGTTAAGTTATGAAAAGATGTACAAATACGAGAGGTTAATGGGATATTTCGTGTTAGATTATATCAGTGTTTCAAGTATCACTTTCTTAGAAGGACATGGACAAAAGGATATGTCCAGAGGAGAGAGTAGGATGATGAGGATGAGAGATCCAACTTGACTAGCATCATCAACAAGATCCTTAAATATTTAAAGAGGCGTACCTGACAGGCTGTGATGTAAGGGGAAAATGCCTCCCCCCTACCTCAGAGAAAAGACCAGTTATAGGGAAATATATTTGACCTGAAACTTCATTACAACCAGAACTATAAAATATGAAAGTAGTAGTGAATGAATTCACTTATTTAGAGAGGTGATGCTATATAACTCTGGGGGCATAGTAGAAAGGACTATACATCAGTCAGGTAGGAAGCTGAGTTAGGTCATTTCTTACTTTTGAGCTCAATATACTTAGGTAATCACTTAGAATGACTTGCAATCAATTCCCGTTAAGACTCTCAAAGGCATAAATCGAAACTGATGATCAGGAACTCAGTCAGTCTGTAAGGGTGAGTGGACATCTGAATACAATAAACAACAGTACGATTTCATTTAATGAAGTGCCAATAAAGTTGAGACTTAAATAAAAGGAAACGGGGTGGGGGAGGGACGGGGAGAACCTTTTCTACAACTGGTAAATGCACTCAGGGAGGTGATGGGAGGAGGTAATGGTCAACCAGTTTGTCAAGACCAAAATCTAATGGCAATTTTGATAATCCTGATCATTTTGTGTTAGCTTTCTCATTTGAAGTCACAACATGGACTAACACTTTCTTTTTTTTTTTCTTTCCAAATGTGATAGGAAAGCAAAGATATCCTGTTAGTGGATCTAAACTCTGAAATCGACAACAATCAGAAATCTTTAAGAGATGATTCATTCTTAACAAATGGCATCACCTCCTGCTCTCTTCCTCGACCAAAGCCTCAGGCATCTTTCTTGCCTGAAAATGCCTTTTCTGCCAATCTCAACTTCTTTCCCACCCCTAATCCTGATCCTTTCCGTGACGATCCTTTTGCACAGCCAGATCAATCGACACCTTCTTCGTTTGATTCTCTCAAATCTCCAGATCAGAAGAAAGAGAATTTGAGTAGCTTGTCTACTCCACTGAGTAATGGGTCCCTGAATGGGGATGTTGATTACTTTGGTCAGCAATTTGACCAAATCTCTAACCGGACTGGCAAACAGGAAGCTCAGGCAGACCCATGGCCCCTTTCAAGTACGCAAACACAACCAGCAGTGAGAACTCAAAATGGGGTTTCTGAAAGAGAACAGAACGGCTTCCATTTCAAATCCTCCCCGAACCCTTTTGTGGGAAGCCCTCCCAAAGGACTGTCTGTACCGAATGGCGTAAAGCAGGACTTGGAAAGCTCTGTCCAGTCCTCACCACCTGACTCCATAGCCATTATCCCACCTCCACAAAGTGCCAAACCAGGAAGAGGCAGAAGGACTGCTAAGGTGAATTGTCTTCTCCACATATCCATTGGCAGAATGCATGTTCGGTACCAAAGGGTGGTGTGATGTAAGCTCTCTTTCCTGCTGCTCTCGTAGTTTCCCGTGTGGCTGTAAAATAGAAGGTGGGATAAGGCACATCGTTCTCCAGGAATACCGTTCTCTAATCACCACCCTTTTTAAGCTTCGCGCTCAGCAGTGTTTGTCACACTGTGCTTTCCTTTTGCATGTCTTGTCACTTATTGTTAACTAAACACAAGTTTTTCCATTTTTAATGCTGCTATGCTTCTGTACCTCTGGTAAGTTTGATCATCATGTTCTGGGAGGGGAGGGCAAGGGTTCTTATGATTCCTTTTGTACCTTCCCCACACTAACACACACCTCCACATGCCCTTCATATTGTGTTAATGTCCAAGGTGGTGGTGTAAAATTCTTGAGTTTGTCGCCTGTATTAAATGCTGACTAAATAATCCATTGTCTTAAAAGAAGCATATATTTACTGTTACCACTTCATTCAAAAACAATTAAACTGTGGTATCTATAAGTATCTTTTTAAAAATATAATTGGAATATGCAGGCTAGCATAATGATTAGACAACTGTATCATCTTTATACAGACTGATTTAAATCCAGTAGAATGATCAAAATTATTTAGGCTACTTATTTATAGTTGTCCTTTCTTTCCCAGCTTCAAGCTTTCAGCTGATAAGGAGACCAGACAAATACAAATGTGTAAAAAAAGCAAAACAGATTTTACTTTGAGTCCTCTGTTGCATCAGTCATCAAGACCCAATATTGTGTCCATTGAGGGATCTGTATCTTTGTGCGTGTGTTTTTTTGGGTTTTTGTAGTCGTTTATCAGTACCAGGAAAAAGTTTTTCTTTCTGTGCTTCCTGAATTTGAGGTACAGAGTAGGAGACAGACTAATGCTGGGTTGCACTGTTTCTGAGTAACTCTTCCGTCTCCCTCTCTGCCCTGTTAGTCTCCAGCAAAAGATTTGCTTGCATCAGACATCTTTGCTCCTCCCGTCTCAGAACCTCCAGGCCAGACATCACCTACCGGACAATCTGCAACCCAGACCAATCCTCTGGATCTCTTCAAAAGAAGTGCTTCTACCCCAGTGGGACCCCTTGCGGGTCTAGGTAGGTCCCTAGAGATCAAGTTAGGTTTGGCTCTGCTACTTTCACTCATAAGATGATAATGCATAGCAGGAGGGCACTTCATATCCATAGAGGTCCCAGCCACATAAGATCTGAGCATCCTGGGAGGTCTTTCACCCACTTCTTACTTCTGTACAAGCCCAGCCTCATTTGATACTCTTGACTTGGAACTTAGATTTGGCTCCTTGAGTTGGCATGTGTGAAGAAATCCATTTTCAATATTGCACTTACCTGAGCCAACTGGTAATGGCTTACTGAAAACAGTTGTAAGGAATTCTGAAGCTCAGACCAGCTTCATTAGAGAAACAGGTTGAGATGAGAGAGGCTTGTCTATCATCTCTATTGGAAAAAGTAGCAATATGCAGGTCTTCCATGTGATTTGCCATTACTAGATTGAAGCTCTGTCATCTGTTAACTGATATCCCTCTTGGAAGGGATATATACCCCAAGAGGGATATAAGTTAAGTCTAAAGCAAGTGTAAGTCATAGAATGAAAAGTCCTGGGTTCTGAGCCCAGCTCTGTTCCTAGGCACATAGTGAGTAGGGGACAGGCATCCTGATCGGTATCTGAGTACTTAAGCCTTAGCAACTCCTTGCCAATATTTTGGCTAGCTGAGTGTCTTAATAGCTTAGAAGATAAGAACTAGAAACCTAAAGTTGGAAAGAGCAGAGAGATAAAGAGAGAAATTTTATCAGATACCCAGGATGTGCTGGTGCTGTCGTTCATAAATCTATCATTAGATCTTGTGGACCACTGAGCCACTCTGTGGCAGGACAGTGGGGATGGCCACTGGCTGAGGGCTGGCCCTGCCACTCTTCACCCACTGCCTCCAGTTCTTTTCTGCCTCCATGGCACAGTCTTCAGAAACCTCGACAATAGTCTTTGCTGTCCTGCTGGGGATTCGCTTTGTTTTTCTGCTTCTTGGCAATTCTACAAGCTCCAAATAGACTCCATCTTGGGAGGAAGTTGGGGGCGCTATTGATGAAGAGGGACTCTCTTCCCAATTGTGTAAAATTTGACCAGGCATCTTGGCTTTCCCTGTCTCGTGCTGAGTCAGTTATCAGGACTCTTTTTTTTTTTTTCTTTGCTGTTATCCTGCAAAGGAAAATATTTTGATTCTGTCCTATTAAATCTGTTTAATCGTTATCTGGAGTACGGTGGCAAGAGTGGGGTTGTTACCCAACTGCTGACTAGCTGAAATCCATGCAGGTGTGAGAAGCCAAATTGTTCCAGGTCTCTGCTTGCACTTATACCATCAAGAGACTCTCCCAAGCACTTCGTGGCTCTGGGGGCTTCCCCTCTCTGCGTGGCCATTTTTCCTGCACTCCCAAGTGGAGCAAGTTGGGGCTTTTCCTTGCAGAAGGGCAGAGAGCTTGCATGCAGTGCCTGCAACTAGATCACATTACAGAGCTTTGTAGTCTAATATCAATGCCCCGAAGAATTTTTTCAGCCAATATTTAACAAGTCAGCCTGAAAATACAGCTGGACCCTATAACTGTTAATTTATTCAGACGAAGTGAAGCTTTTTGGCGAGGTGCCCCCGTTGAGGCCTTGGGGTATACAACTGCGGAATACTGATGATTCTTCCAAGTTTGGACATGGGACTCAAACTGAGCTCTACAGTATAGGCCCTGTCCAGTTGCAGGCATCCTCAGCCAAACCATGGAAGGTTGTAGGTCTGGCTTCCGCTAGACCCAGCTGGAGGACAGTTTCCTCTGGAGAACTGGGGGTGGGGAGATGGTATTGTAGAAAGCTGAGCCTTCAGCTTTGACTAGCTACCCTGTGTTTTAATGTAGCATCAGAAAGTAATAAAATTAACTTTTTATGCCCACACTCTCTTTTTCCTTACCTCTTGCCTCTACTTTCTTCAGTAGGGCCTTAAATATCTTAGAAATACATGCATGGAATCTGGTGGATGGGAATGAAGGCTGGCATAAGTATAATGCCTGGAAAGCCTTTAATTCCTGACAAATATAATATTTTTCTCTTTTACCACCATTCCCACTAATACCATCTATGGCTAAAGCCACACATTTTCCTGAGGGAAGGCAAGTCATCCAACGTGAAAGATGACAAAATTCTTCTCAATTTGCACATCCAATTGGTGTAAATTATTAGTGAGTGACTCTGGCTTTGGTTAATAACATTTAAGTAAATTTGTTTTAAAAGGCTAGCAATAACTTTGTTCAAACTAACCCACTTTTAGAAGCCTGTATTACAGAATCTAAGAGAACTTTTCCCTTGATTAGTTGTGAAAGGAATATGCATAATTTTTAGTGTAAATGCAGCCTATTTTCTGTGTCTGTAAAAGAAGTATTTGTATTAACATTACATTAAAATAAAAACAATCCTGTCCCTTGATGCCAAGGAGACAGAACAGGAGGATAGGGTGCTAGATTCGGAGCCAGTGTGCCTGAGTTTTACTCTCTACAACAACAGACTGTGACTTCCCCACTTTTAATAATTAATATTCTTGTAGCTAGTTCCCTCCCCTCAAATATAAGCATGTTAATTTGATAAGATGACCTTTTCTGAAACCCACCACTCTCCGTGAGCACACAAATGTGTTCATGGCCAGATGGCTAGCATTCGTGTTGACAGAGTTGAGTTAAGCAACATCTATCTCCAATACTAAGAAAATGCAAGATAGACTATCTTGCTACATCAGCCCCTGAAGATCATTTTCAAAATATTTCTCACTCTGGAAACAAAAACATTCCTAACCTAAGTTGGAAGGCCTTTTTGCAGTTTGGTTAGAAAACTTTTATAACTAAAGAATCCTCTGCTCCAAAGCTCAAAGCAAGTAGGTTTTGAGAGCAGAGCATCATTCGTGAATAGGTTTGAGGCTGTATTTAGGTTTTCTGTTAGTGGTGATGGCTTGACTAGGTCATTAATACACTTGGGAAGAGGCAGGAGAGAAGATGCCCTGCATATCAGAACAAGATGTGAGGAATGAGAGGGGCAAACAGTGGAGAGACATGGATTTTAGTGATCTAACTAATTCCTAATCAACATGGCAAGGATGCAGGAGATGGAGCCACTGCCCCCGCAAAGATCAAATGCTCAGACACAGGCAGTTAGTACCTTGGAAGGTTTTTTTTTGCTTGACATTGTTTTCTCTCCTTCCCTTCCTCTTAAATACTCTGTTCCAACTTCTGGCAAGGTTTAGTGAGTGACACACAGCAGGAAGCCCTTTTATTTGAAACAGCTCTCCCAGGATAACCAGCCTTTCCTCAAGTTTTATATATAAAAGTGTAAGTAGTTTTACTATCTTAGCATCGACCAAATTTTATCATCCTTTTATATAGCTGTGTCAACCTTGGCAGCATTTAAAAGCAAAGAAACTTTGAAATGGTTTCTTTGGGATGCAAGCATGTTGAGGGCTAGTGCACAAGCGTCATAGCTGGTTTCCGTAAGACTCCAGACGTGAGCCAGCTGCCAAATGAAAAGATCGAATCAATGATGAAGAGTGCCCAATGGATTATCTTAATTAACTACTTCATAATCAGCATGGTTTGTCTATGTAAATGTATTCCCTCAACAAATAAATTTGTGCTATTGACAGGCTCTGTTCTAGCTGTTTAAAATATATCAGTGTGTGTATGATAAGGGCTCATTTTTCCATTACTAGTTACTTGTCGACTGTATTACCCTTCTAATGAGGAAAGTGAAAAAGATGTGGTAGAAAGAAAGGGCTTCGAAATGCAACCAGTATCAGAATGCTAGCTATACTGTGTTAGCTAATTAATCTTTAGAGTGATTTGATCTCTCGGAACCTTTACTTCCATGTCAGCTTCAAGACTTAATGAGGTTTGTGTCACATAGATGCTCTACAAATGCTCCCCAAAGCATTGTGCTTTCTGAAACTCAAGATTTCCTCTTCAAGCTTGTCACCTGATAAGTCCTTTCTCCTGCTTCCTTCAGGTGGCGTATCAGTTACACCCTCTCAGGCAGGACCATGGAGCCCAACATCTTTAGTCTTCAGTCAGTCCACTTCAATGGTCCCAGGAGCCGTGATGGGTGGTCAGCTTTCAGGATTCTGTCAACCAGTCATTTTTACCACAAGCCCAGCTGTTGCAAGTTGGAACCAGCCTTCATCCTTTGCAGCCTCAACTCCCCCTCCAGCCCCTGTTGTTTGGGGCCCATCAGCATCTGTAGCACCCAATACTTGGTCATCAACAAGCCCTTTGGGGAATCCTTTTCAGAGCAATATTTTTCCAGCTCCTGCTTCCTCTGGCCAGCTCTCCTCTCTCCTGGACACTCCTCCTCAACCACCTCCCAGAACTGGCCCTCCAAAGGATATCTCCAGTGACGCCTTCACTGCCTTGGACCCACTTGGGGATAAAGAAGTCAAGGAAGTGAAAGAAATGTTTAAGGACTTCCAATTACGGCAGCCACCTGCTGTGCCCGCAAGGAAGGGAGAGCAGACTTCCTCTGGGACTTCAAGTGCCTTCTCCAATTATTTCAACAGCAAGGTTGGCATTCCTCAGGAGAATGCAGACCATGATGACTTTGATGCTAATCAACTGTTGAAAAAGATCAATGGTAAGTTACCCACTTCTCTGTCTACTGTACCAACAAGTATTTCCACTGTCATATGGGCCTACAGAGTCCCTCAGAAGTACCCTCCTCCACCCCACCAATAGCCTTACTTCTGGTTTTTTGGTAATCAGAGGTTATGGAGACAACTTAACCATTTACCCTCTGGAGTTATTTACCTTAGTTAGCTGTTTCTAAGGGCTGGCTCAATGCTGCCCTCTTGTGACAATTCTTGAAAGGGCCGCTAAGAACTGTTGAAATTCCATGGGTCATGGCCCTGGAGGGCTGTGTAGTAAGGCCTCAGCCATAATCTCATGGCCATGAGTGAGGGAAGTCTGATTCTCTCCTAGTTCAGGTAAATATGCATGGCTTCCTCTTCTGAGAGGGGATGAATTTGCCTATAATAATCATAAGGAGTCCCAGTATTTGGCGGTGATTTTTGTTCCATTGACGTAAATTTCAAAAGCATGGAAAATAATTTCTAAGATAAGCCTGACTTGGGGCTGGCCCCGTGGCCGAGTGGTTAAGTTCGCGCGCTCTGCTGCAGGCGGCCCAGTGTTTCGTTGGTTCGAATCCTGGGCGCGGACATGGCACTGCTCATCAGACCACGCTGAGGCAGCGTCCCACATGCCACAACTAGAAGAACCCACAACAAAGAATACACAACTATGTACCGGGGGGCTTTGGGGAGAAAAAGGAAAAAATAAAATCTTTAAAAAAAAAAAAAAAAAAGATAAGCCTGACTTGGGGATGTGTGCCCATATTTGGGGAAAGCTTGTCTACTGACTATGCGGGGTTTTTCACCTTCTAGAACCACCAAAGCCAGCTCCCAGACAAAGTGCCCTGCCAGTTACCAAATCTGCTGACAATGGGTTTGAGAACCCTTTCTCTAAAGATTCTTTCAGTTCATCACAAGCCTCTGTAAGTATCCACTATTAGAAGCTATTGCTCCAAAGTACGTGGCGCCTCCTGAATTAACCTTGTTTGCATAATAACTTGTTGACAATAAAGAACATCTGAATAAGGTCTATCATTAAGAACCATCACAGCGTAAACATCAACTCAAACTGGGGAAAGATTATTTTCGCAGGGACTACTATCCTGACCTTGAGAAATGAATATCATATAGAAAAAGTCCTTTGTATCTCTCATAGCCTGGCTCGTGAAAGTGTCTTGGGAGAAAATTGAGCCGAAATATTATCTTAAAAAAATCTTTCAGGGGGCTGGCCCCGTGGCCGAGTGGTTAAGTTCACGCACTCCGCTGCAGGCGGCCCAGTGTTTCGTTGGTTCGAATCCTGGGCGTGGACATGGCACTGCTCATCAGACCACACTGAGGCAGCGTCCCACATGCCACAACTAGAAGAACCCACAACGAAGAATATACAACTATGTACCGGGGGGCGTTGGGGAGAAAAAGGAAAAAATAAAATCTTTAAAAAAAAAAAAAGAAAAAAAATCTTTCAAAGATTTAAGTTCCTGATTTCCCACCCATGATTCTTTAGCTCATAAAAATGATACTTCTCATTTTGGGGAGGCAAACATAATTCACCTGAACCTTGGTTTTCATGGAAATAATAAATATACATCATCAATTACAAGCAGGCAAACACAAGTCATTGAAGACCCAACAATATCTGATTCATCTGTGATTTTCTAAGTGATTTTTAAAGGAATTTGAGAAGTCTTAATTATAGGTTTTTTCTTATAACTATGATTATATTTATTGACTGGATGTTTTCTCTCCATAGATGGCTTCTCCTCAACCCACATCACCTGACGTTTATAAGGATCCTTTCGGTAATCCTTTTGCCTAACATCTGTGAGTAGAAGATCCTCTTAAGCTTAGGTTTGGTGAAAAAGGGTAGCACAGGGGGTGAGGGTGAGATTTTAATTTTAGAATTGGGAAGAGATTAAAGCTCTGTAATCCAGAAGTAATAGACATGGAAATCTATACTTAACTAATTCAATAATGGCTCGGCTGGGCATTTAAGAAAAGAATTCTTATCCATATCAAAAGACAGTCATATATCCATAGGGATATGGATTTCTATCATATCCTGTGCTTGTGATATTTCAGTTCGGTATGGAAGTGGACTTCTAACACATTATAGTTCTCTAGATGTTTTACCTTTATATTGAAGTGATTGCAAAACATCTTAGTAATTACTTGGTTTTGTACAAAACCTTCAAAATCTGAAGACCTTCTGAAGCCACCAAACAGGTCAGCTAACACAACTCTTTGGCCTCCCCAAACAGTATTTATTTCCTTGAGAGGAGGCTCAAAGTTAGTCTGAAATAGTCTGATGGTATTAATTCCAAAAGATGACAGCCGCCAATGTCTCCTGCTAAAGCAGTAGGTATAAGTTCAGATGAGTCTGTAGGTTGATTCTTCCCTCTAGTGGATTTTACCCTGGGTGAGTTATTAGGCATACTCACCTTAGACTGAGACCCTAGAAAGGCTCAGTGTGACCCTTTCTCAACAGTGAGTGGAAGCAACTTTGATTTTGAAAGACCGAAGTGAGTAGAGGAAAGGAACCTTGTCTGCAGTTTAGAGGAGGGAGAATGTAGCTGGTAGGAGAGAACAACAGAAAGAACGAAAAGAACCCAAACCCATTTTTCTCAGTCTTACCCCACCCATGTAATGCTGCTAAACCATGTCTTGCCCCATCTGGAATTTCACTATTTTAAATAGATAACAATCTTAAATCTGACATCCGACGATAAGGTTGAGTTTATTTGCAATTTGGACCCTTCCCCTCATCCCACTTCTACAATTACAGTGTTTCTTCAAGTGCTTTTCCATAAAATCTGCTTCAGAGAACTGGGTGACTTTATTGAAAAGGCAAATTCCTGGTCCCCATCCCAGCTCTAAGGAATCCCCCTCCAGTGCTGAGGAAAAGCTTCATTTTAACAAGCAGCCAGATGATTTCTAATGTTAATAAAGCGGTGTAATCTATTGAAGGGCTAGAAGTCTTAACAGAGCCTCATTCTCACCTTCCTCTCCAGGGGTGCCATCTGTGAAGGAATAGAAAGAAATAAACTACACTAGGAGTTTAGGAGGATTGTTTGCACTGAATTGAAGTGACTGGAATTCTCCTTGGAGGCCCTTTCTTCTTTAGGTCATGAAGGGAGAATAATATTGGTCAACCTGCTAAACATATAGATTGGGGCAGGGCAAGAGAGCTGTCATGGGAGAAAATAGCTGACATCATCGAGCGCTTGTGTCAATCACTTTAGTACAGGTTCTACGTTTATTATTTTATTCAATCCTCTCATATCAGCCCTAGGAGATCCTATTTCTGACACTTTAAATAATGACTTCATATTTAATACCTTGACATTCAATCCAAAAATTCTAACCGCAGGTTTTTTCTTCTCCTCCTCCTCTAGGAACTTGGCATGCTGACTTTCCAGAGGAACAAAAAGGTTGGCCGTAGTAGTCAAGGACAAAACTAATAGCCAGACAAGTCTTGCCCGCTGCCCCTGTTCTAGCTTTGACGTATTATCTGTTGCCTTATTTCTTGCTGCCTCTTCCACTTGTAAAATGCCTTTTACTTTCTGTTTAAAGCTAAACTGAATCTATGGTTTTAAATAAATTAAGAACCTAAACTCTCTAGCTTAAATGTAAATGAAGTAGTATTCCTACTTGAATCCTTGCCTTTTGTGTCCCTAGAACCTTCTAGAACACTCCCCAATGTACCCTCTGGTTGGGAGATGCAGCCACAACAACCCTTTAGATCATACCATTCTGAATAAATTTGAAAATCCTTACTGTTCAAAATCGTTTGGGGGTTCTGTTTTAGAGCATAAAACCTGAAGATTGTAGTAGGACAGGGCAGAATCTTAACTCCTGCTTCAGACCATCACTTATAGAAAATTTTTAAAGTAAAATTGAAGCAAGTCTAACTTCTTCTTAGACATTTTGGAATCTAACACACCTAAGAACCTTTTTAAAGATAAAACTTCTCACTTTCTTAAGATTGTTTTTCTCTCAAGGACAAGATTATCCTTTTCCAATCTCTTGCTAGCTATCGAATTGAGGAAAAGCATTATTTGTCTCTCCTCTCCTTTTCCCTCTGATTCTCTTTTCAGTCAGTTTTGCTCCCAGGTTGACCTCTTTTTTATAAGCAACAGAGTTTTATGGAGCAAAAAATTCTAATCATTCACACATCTGAAACCTCTCTGCCTTCTCAGTAATGGCTAATCCCAGTAACAAGAATTGCAAATGGGCACAACCTTTATCCTTTCTGTGGAATAGGGGGCCATCCTTTTGAGCTGAAGTTCCAGCAGAGCAGTACATGTTGAAGAAAAGCTGAACTCAACTCAGCAGTGAAGGACTGTGTTCTGAAGAGCAACACATCACAAAGTTAAACGTGATTGTGCCAAACATATTAGGTGCTTATTTGGGGTCATACTAGACCTTTATCAAGTAACTGGAAAACTTTCTTGAAGCCACAGTCTCATAGTTAGTAGGAGGATAAATGGAAAAAAAGAGAAAAAAAAGCTGTAGAACAAGTATTTGGTGTTATCAAAAACCTAATGTCTGCAATATTTTTCTCCTCATAACCTTGGAAACTTTCCCAGTTCATTTTCAGTCCTATTGTTAGCACAGTTCTGAAGGGTTTGTTCTTGCCAAAATGAGTTTTGTTCTATGTTGGGGTTTTTAATGTTGTCTCTTGACCCCTAATGCTCAGGTTTGTGTGGATATTAATCAACCACATACAATGTTACCTTTACATGGAAGAAGAGGATGACTGCTCAGGATCTGAACAAGATGGCGGCCTCATGAACCTCTATTGATTAGCCCCAAGAAGTCCTAGCTGAAGTCCTAGCTAAAGTCCTGTGGTTTTGTGTTCAATGGTAATAGCTGATCATGGATGGTGTAATTTTCCATCTGACTTCCTACTCAGTCGTCATAAACACAGACTTGAAATAGTATTTTATGTGTTCAAATACCTAAATGTGCTAAACTGGAGGTAATTATTTCTAGGTAGTTGAATTTTTGAAAGTAGAAAAAATTTTGAAAGTAATGATCAGCCACACAACTGTTTTGTACATACTTTTTTTCTTGTGCACTTTTCTGTATGCAGATAAGGCTATAAATTTACTCATTTCAATAAACTGAAATGGCAAAATCTCATGTGTTTACCATCAGTTTATTCTAATATTTGACCCCGGCTCTGGGTTGATGTGTTAGGGTCAAGGTATAAAATATACCAGTCTAAAGTGAGCGAATGTTAGTTATAGTACATTCTGGATTGTCACAAAGATGAAGAGAAAGTGGAAGTCCATGAAATAGGATCATGAGTAAATTATTATCTGATATCTTACAATGTCTTATTCTCCTTTCTCAGATCTACACACACTCCCTTCCTGAGAGTTTAATGCGAGTCCAATGGTTAAGATGTGTACAAGAAAAACTTCAAGTGATGTCTAGTATAAAAAGCATTTATTAGTGAATTCTTGGTTCACGTCTTTTACCCTTTGCCTCCCGTTATTCTTTGTTTAGCCATGTTTAACCTCACCAAGACACAACAGTGTGGACTGCTCCAGGCTGGTGTAAGCCACTCAGGAGAGCTTCTGGGTGAGATGGGCAGCCAATGATCAGACATCTAGCACTAGGACAATCTTAACCACTCTTCCCTAGTATAAAAGTTCAAGACTCTCGTTCTTTTCAAGACCTGGTTCTACAGGGAAGATAACGCCAAGGCAGGCCTTACTTGAGTATAGAAGTCTTGGTGTTAAACTTGACTTCTCTAAGGAGTAACACAAACTTGGGAGGGTGGATGTCATTGACTGGTGTTTGTTGTTATGGGATGTTCAGTTTTACTGCTTTACCTTTCTCCTTAACTGAAACACGTGGTCTCGTTCTGACAATAAGTAGAACGTAGAGAAACAGACTCCACACCAAAGCAGCTTCCGGTAAGCCATAGATGAGATGGTGAAGGCTGCTGATAAGAACATGTTGCACAAATTATCTGGCTTATCCAGATGCTCTACAGTGTGTCTAAACCATTGAGACCGTGTGCTATTTCTATGTGGCTTAATCTGCAAGATCTTGCTGGAGGTTAACCCTTGCTCATGTGTACAAGGGGAGGACTTTCACGTCAGTGCAGTAGGATCTACTGTTGACCAAGCAGAGGGAGGTGCTTACTGAAGTGTCCTAGCAAAGTGGGAACAGACCGCTTCTTTATTATTGTCTCTTTAGTAGCAGTGATATTCACACCTGTATGCCACAAGTTCAGCTTTTATGGCAACCCTATTATTCCTGCAAGAGGGTTTCTTTTAGACACCAGATAGATCTAACCTAAAAGCTGAACTTTAACAGCCAGCATGCTCCCAAACTTCTCACATAAAGACAATACAAAGGGAGAAGGTATTGCTTTTCTCAAGATGATCTTGCATTTGTGAAGTGCTTTACCATTTACACAACATAACTCATTCTATTGATACAGTAATCCTGTGAGCTGGGATCTGTTACTGCTCCATCTCAACAAAGAATGGCATCTGTGCTTTAAAATGGCTGCAGTCTGCTTCAACTCTTAAATGAGTAGTTTCCATGGTATTTTGTTGTAAAATTGGTGCGTAGTAGTAGGGAGATCTTTTCAGTCAGTGATTTCAAACTCCTCCATGAAAAGGCCAACCATAGTGTCTAGAGAAAGCCACACCAAGTATGATTCTGTGTCTTTCCTGTGCTGAAAGCAGGGAGGGAAAAGAACAGAGGATGTCGCTAACTCAGGAGTTTGGTTGACCCTGCAATAAACTGATGAGTGAGGACTCTGACCCGTATTCCCGGAACAGGTTCATTACAAAGTCTTCTCGTGAAAGATAGGAGCTACCCCCAAATCCCTGGTAAATATTTAAGCTATTACTGCTGGAGAAGGTTGCTAGAAAATAAAACACCGGATTCTTGCTGGGAAATATTGTTTTAACTCTCCTCTATTAAAAATAACTAAGACTCATGTTCCACAAGCCAAATGTGGACACACACAGGGCTGTGAGATGGCAACAGTCCTGTTAACATGTCCTAATTACAGCAATGCTGATGGACAAGGGCCAGCCATGTGTCATCTCACCTAATGAGGGACTGAGCCCCTCATTTGCCCTTGCTCCTCTGGAATTACTTACTTAATTACTAAGCCTCCACTGGGTGCTGAAATCATGTGAGCGCCAGTCTCCAGGGAGACGACAGTGTGGGCTACTCAGTGGCCAAGAAACTGGGCTTCTACAGGGACCACAGAGAAGGTGGTCATAAAAAAAGGGAAAAACACCTGACTCTGAAAGTCTTCATGACTGAGTTGTCTTGATGTTCGTCATGGTGTTTTCTGTCAATTCTCTTTTCCTTTGGTTGACTTCATTTACTATCATTTTACCTTCATTGTAAGAAAGGGAAATTATTGCCATTCTAAAAGTGACATGGTGACCAGACTGGGCTGAGGCTGAGTTGCAGATGTTTCTGAGGTGTGTCTGAGGCTGCCTCCACCTAGTACATACTTACGCTGACTGATCATCATAGAAACTTTTGTTTGGGGGCTGCTAAGAGGAGTGTTGAAACCCAGGAGCTAATGGAGAGGAAAGAGGAGGAAAACAAGGGTTATGTGACATTTGCTTCGCTGCCTCCCTCATGGGTCTGAGAGACTGGTTTAGAGGCTTGATGGTGGAGATGATAGGGCTAGAAGCAGGAGGCGTTGTCTTCCTTAGATGAAAGACCCTGGGCACAGGAAGGCAGTTCATAGCCCACATGTCCATTAGTAATGAACTGACTGTAGTAATGGAAAGGCTCACAGAGGCTAAAACCAGTAGGGGCTTATTTTTCTCACATAAAAATTGTAGATTGGTGGCTGCTGGTGTTGGCTCAGCAGCTCAACAAGGACCTCAAGGACACAGATTCAGCTTTTCACTCCAACCTTTTAGCCTCTTGGCTTTCTATTCTCGCGTTTATTGGCTAATGGTCACAAGATGGCTGCGTAGCTCCAAATATGTTAGTGTTCAAGGAGAGCAGAAAGGGAAAGGCAGCACAATCAATATCTGCTCCTTGTACCAGCATTTCAGCTTTCCCCAAAGCTTCCTAGTAGATTTCAGCTATGTCTCATCGGACAGAATTTGGGCTCATGGCTACTTCTGGGTGCAAAGGAGGCTGGGAAATCCAGCTTTTAGCTTTACCAACTTCTATAGTGAAGGTAACTAAGGAAGAGGCATGGCTGGTTAGGTGATTTCTGGGGCCTACAGCTAAATAAAAATGGAGGATCCGTTGTTCAAAAAAGGAGGAAAAATAGCCATTAGAAACATTAAAGTATAAACTGATTTCTTTTCTTCTGCAACCGCTTTCCCTTATCATGACATTTTATTTGCTATTTAATGTTATTTTAAGTAAAGAAAAATTGACATTTTATAGTATTAGCCTGAAATTTCCCACTAATTTTTTTTTTTAAAGATTGGCACCTGAGCTAACATCTGTTGCCAATCTTTTTTTTCTTCTTCTTCCCAAAGACCCCCAGTACAGAGTTGAATATTCTAGTTGTAGGTTCTTCTGGCTCTGCTATGTGGGATGCCACCTCAGCATGCCTTGATGAGCAGTGCTAGGTCTGCACCCGGGATCCGAACCAGTGAAACCCTGGGCTGCCGAAGCAGAGTGCATGAACTTAACCGCTTGGCCACAGGGCTGGTCCCCTTTACCACTCATCTTTACCTCATAAGTGGAATCACTGAAATAACACAATTTGTATTTTATACATGCATATATATTTGAATATGTATTTCATTCTTGCCAGAACAGTGGAAACACTGCACAAAACTAACTCAACTATTTTAATTCACTTCTCAACACACATACATTCCACGTTTAGTTCACTGATGAGTAAAGAAAGATGGGGAAAAAAAGAGACTATGCTTTGCCTGTCTCTTTCTTTCCTTCCATGTCATTATTTTCAGCATAATAAGGTGGCTAATGCAGGTAAGTAACACTAGTAATAAAGATATGATAGTGTTTCTTGGTCATTTGTCTTTCTTTTTGTGTCAAAAGCAAGTTCTGGTTCAAATGGGCGATGTGACCTCTCAGGGCTGTCATTTACTCAGTCATAGACATAATACACTTACCTTTTACTCACTTTTGCTTTGAGTCACTGAACTCCTACACGTCATGGAGCCACCTGAATTTCATGCTCACAGGACAATATAAACATTATGTGCAGATGGGGTGGCATGGAAGTGAGGGCACAATGCGTATTTCCTCTGCTCACGTGCGTGCTCCATCTTCCCATCAGACTTTGCTTTCAAAACAAAAGTCCAAAGATAAAATTAAGAATTTCAAGATGGTAACAACAGAGCATTAAACTATGCGTGGGGCTTTTCTGAAGCCTAAGCCCTGGGCTACTGCATGCGTCGCCTGCCCTTGAAGCCAGCCCTGGCACGAGGTCCTTGGAAATGGCTGATGGATTAGCCAATGTGTTTCCCACATGCCCGAGTGATAATTTAACCCAAAGTTGGCCCTCCTCCAAATGCAGATCACAGCAGTCTTTGACTCCACGGCACCCGCAGGGCAGAAGAGAAGCCCGTACATGGGAAGCATAGCCAGCAAAGCTGATGGTGAGGTACGTTGACTAGAAGGTGGAAGCTAAAGAATGCAGAGGACAGGTTTCTCTGTGTTAGCACCACGAAGATTACCAGAAACAATAAAAGTTGGAAGGGGGCAGGGAACTAAAAGGCACTGCCTATGAGGCTTTAGTGTTGACATAACCTAATTAGAACTCAACCGGATGTGCCATTTCAGTTGGAAGGATACTAGGGGGAGGACTGTAAAACTCCTGAGCTCTTCCTAGCTAATGTGCCTTGCAATTCTCCATTTTACTTCTTTGTAAGCTCAACGCTACCGGCTTTGAAAAACAACACTGGATTCAGGGATGCTCCACAGAAGTCATTGAATAGAGACAGCAAACACCTATCAAGCTTTTCCCCCCGACAGACACTATTCTGAGTGTGTTACAATAAACAATTTAATTTTCGTATCAAATCCATGAGGTGCTCCTACCACTGCCATTTTATAGAAGAAGACACAGAGGCACAAAAGACTAAAGGAACTGCCCAAAGTCACATAGCTGGTAAGTGGCTGAAGTGAAGTCCCAACCTGGGCTCCAGTGT